TTTTAATTTTCGAGTTTGTCGGAAAATCTTCGACACGTACGATAATAATAATGATGATGATGATGATGATGATGTTAGCAGGAGAGAAATGAAAGAATTCGCTGTTCACGGTACTTCCGGTAGGGGTTTTCCAGGTGGAAAATCGCAATGATTGCCAAAAAAAATTTTTTTGTTTACATCTTGATTGATTGATAACTTATCAGTTATTATTTTACTCACGAACTTTCTACGAATTATATTATCGATGTGGAAAAGAAAACTTTTTTTTCGGAAAAAAGAAAAATTGAATTCGTCATGATTTATTGTTATGACGTTTTCCCAACAGCCCGCCACGTTTTTTTTTTTTTAAGGGATTTTCTGGTTTTACTTTAGAATTTAACAGATTTCAGAGATTTGGTCGTTTGAAATTTTTTTTTTTTTGGAATTTTGATGATTTATAAAATGAAAGAGAAAAAAAAGAAAAAAAATTTTTCTACCGGAAAAACAAAAAAAAAAATTATCGTTGATGCGGAAATATATGATGAAGTCGCTTTATTAAAAGAATTTAACGTCACAAGTTATGCGAAAAATATGAAATTAAATGAAGAGAGAGAGAGGGAGGATGGAAAAGGGTGGAGAGAAGGGAGAGGAGGAAGAGGGGAGCGGGGAAAATATGTGTGCATAAAAAAAAATGATGGAAATTTTTTTATTGCAATTATTTTTCCAGGTTTTTTTTTTTTTTTATATACAATAAATGTCATGATTAATTTTTTTTTTTTTTAATAAAAATTTATTTTATGTATAAATATATAATAAAAGTACTGGATAATTAGGTATCGAATATCATTTTAAAAAGGTAAAAAAAGATAAAGAGAGAGGGAGGGAGAGAGAGAGTGAGAGAAAGAAAGAGGAAAGGGGAAAAATGTAAGAAAATGAAAATGCATCGGAAAATTTTTTTTTTTGGGTTTGTTAACTAATAAAAATTTTTTTTTTTTAAGTTTATAATTATTTTAGGTTCTGGAATTTTTCAGATAAACAAATAATATAAATTTTTTTCCAGTCTCACGTTTTAAAATTTTCCGAATCGTTTTGGAAAAATAAAAATTTTTTTTTTTTTTTAATCAAAATGGCGGCCATATTTTATTATTTTAACAAACCTTTAAAAATAATAATAACAATAAACGGGAGACGATAGAAAAAATTTTTTTTTTATATAAATATATCAAAATATAATTTTTTATGGTTGGAAAAAAAAAAAGAAAATCCTGTTTTCCCTAAGAGAGAAAACCTTTTCTTCCCTTTTCTCTGAAGTTTTCATTTATCTTTTTAAAGATTAATGTGACTGACGGGATCAGCGTGGAAAACCCAATTTAATCTTTTCTTTAGTATGAGACGATGTTTTGTCATTAAAACATTCTTAAAAAATCTCAGTTTACAGCTTCTTTGAGCTTTTAATTTTATACTCGTCACTTTACCTCCCCCCTCTCCCTTTCATATTTTCTCAAAAAAAAAATTTTCCTTTTTCCGAGAAAAATGAAAACTTTTTTCCGAAAAAATGGAAAACTTTCGCAAACAAATTTTTTTCATTTTAAAATCATTTATTAAAAAAAAAAAATAAAAAAAAAAGAGGGGGAAGGAATAAATCATTGTTTAAATAATAATAATAATAATGAAAAACTATCATTCTATTGACACGATTTTTATAAATATATTTATATTGACACGACTTATATATATATTTTTTTTTATTGGTAATTTTTTGATTGCTTAACGAAAAAAAATTCTTTTTTAAAATTATTACGGGGGAAAGAAAAGGGATGAAAAGGGGGAAAAGAGCGAGGGGGAGAGAGAGAAGAAAAAAAAAATTTTTCGTCGTGAAAAAAAATTACAAGAATTTTCTAACGTTATATAACCCGAAACGACTTTTGTTATTTTTCACAAAAATCACGAGTCGTTTATCACGACAACACAAAAAAAAGTTAAAGTAATAAAACATTCCACTAATGAAGATATAATGTTTGAGTGTAAACACAAACAAACAAAAACATAAAAACATAATACCAAGTTTCATTCGATTTAAATTAACCTTATGTACAATAAAAAAAAGGGGGAACCGGAAGGGCATGGAGGGAAAAGGAAAGAAATAAATCATTACATTAAATCAAATCAAACGAAGGCGGCGAAATTTTAACGAAAAAAAAAACAAAAACGTTTAAATTAAACGTTTTGTATAAACGTGCATACAAACACACGTTTCACACGACAAACGCGCATTTACCCTCCTCAATCACACAACAAACACAAACAATCACACACAGAATCCACGAGTTTTTTTTTTTTTAATAAATTTCTCTCATCGACCCTTTCACGTTTTTTTCTTTCGAACATCTTTCAAAACCGTTCGGGTAATAAAAAAATTTTTTAAATACGTAATTTCGTAATTAATAATAATAATAATAATAATAATAATAATAATAATAATAATAATAATAATAATAATAATAGGAAAAGGTAGGAAAAAAATTTTTTATTTTCGCGATAACCTTTTTTATATTAATTACAACACCTAATGTTGTAAGTGAATGATGATAAGAGTGTCAAAATAAACAAACGATCAAACTGACAAAAATAATCCGGGGCCGTAACGACAACGACAACAACAACAACAACAACCTGTCAAATTATTAAATAAAATTTATTATCGGCATAAAATCCCAAAAATTTATCATTTGTAAAACTTTAAATTTGACAATTTCTTAACTAACGAAGGTGTTTCGGACTCTTACGATTAATTACCCCCTCCTTCCCCCCGCCCCCAAAAAAAACCCTTTACAACTTAACAAATCCTTTTACGGTTTTAATTAATAATAATAATAATAATTTATTCATTTTGAATATTTTTTTATTATAATAATTAATTTTAGTACCATATGATTGTTTTAAAAAAAAAAGTTCTCGTTTTTATTATTAATTTTTATGTATCAACGTTTCGACGCCATTATTATTATTATTATTATCACGAGAGGAAAAAAAAATATATATATATATAAACTTTTTTATTTTTTTTATATAAAAAAAAATTTTTTTTTTTTTTAACAATAATTTATAAATTTCATTAAAGTGAAAATTGAAAAAGTTTTTTTATATATAAAAATAAAAATAAAAGAAGAATATTAATAAAAAAAAAAAAAGTGTTAAGAAACTCGTGGGTTGAATATTGATTTTAGTATATTAATTTATTGTTAATATTTTTAATTTATTATTATTATTATTATTTACACAAGTTTTATACTTAAAAAAAAAAAAAGATGACGTCATATGAAAAAAAAAACGTGTTGTTTGTTTTTAATTTTTTTTTTTTTTGTTTTTTTAATTATTCGTTGCGGAAAATTACGATGGATGTTTTTTTTTATAAAAGAAAAAGAAAAACAATCGGTTAAGTCCTGGAAAAATTTTCTGGAGGATAACTGGAAATGATAAGAACGAAGTTTGGAATGGGGTTCGAGTATACAAAATTATGTGCGATGGAAAATAAATAAAAAGTTATCTCCGTATCGTCGTCATCGCGTTCGGTAATGTTCGTTCATCTTCGGTTTGTTTATTTATTTATTTTTTTTGCCGAGTGTGGAAAATTTTAACCAATCAGAATCGAGATTTTTTTCCGATGGAGTGAGTGGGTATTTAAAAGTTAAAGGCACAAACGGTTTTGTTTTCTTTTTTTCGTTTTTATTACGTACGTATTTGATTCTGTATTTTCGGGGGGGGGATTTTATTTGGGGGCGCGCGAGGGGGAGGGTAGGGTAAACGAAACCTTTTTATTTTAGTATATAAAGCTAAATTAAATTATTATTAAAAGAAAAAAATGTTTTCGATGTTAATAAAATAATTAATTTATTTAAAAGGGAAAAATAAAAAAAATTAATTTTTTTTTTTAGATTTTTTTATTTTCTTGTGATTTTTTTTTTTCCAAATAAAATCTGCCATTTTTTAAAAACGACGAAAGAGTCAAAGAAAATTTGATTTGGTAAAAAAAGTAAAAAACACTTAAAAAGGGGGGAGGGAAATTTTGTTTTATTTTATTTTTTTTTTTTTTTGTCAAGAGGTAAAAATAGTGTGAAAAGTAAAATCGTAAGCGTGTAAAATTTTTTTAAAAAAAATCCACAAACCGTGTCAAAAAATGAAAGGAATTGAATGTAAAAAGTAAATAAAAATAAAAAAAAGAAAATTTTTATTACGTGGGAGGAGAAGAAAAATTTTTCCACATAAAATTCCAAAGTGTAAAAAATTTTAAGTAAAGTCATTTTTTTTTTTTGAAAAATTCGTATCGTTTAAAAACTTTTTTCAAAAATTATTTTATTTTTTATTATAAAAATCACGAGTTGATTTACAAATAGAAAAAAAAAGAAGAAGAAGGTGAAAAAAAAAACTTTTTATTTATTCAATAAATAAAAAACAATTAAACGAGAGAGAGAAAACAAACAAACAAACAAACAAACAAATAACAACTTAAAAGTTAATATCATATTAAATTAATAAATAAAATAAAATTATTTAATGCCCCCCCTCTTTTTCTTAAAATTTTATTATCGATCATAAGTGGCATCAGACTCTAATTAAATTAATTTAAAAAAAAGAATACACGATAAATTTTTTTTTTTTTTTTTTTTTTTTAATACTAATAATAAACGTTAAGTAAAGAAAAATAATAAAAATCAAGACCGGTAGGTAGTTTTTGACCTTTATGTGTAATTAACAAACGTAATTAAAAAAAAAAAAAAATTTTTTTTATAACGATAATATAAACGTCGTAAAATTTATTTCCCCCCCCCCCTAACAAGATTTTTGTAATTTCACTTTCAGGTATTTCCTTCCTCTTTTCCCCACTTCTTAATACAAACCTCGTAATTTTATATCTTTTGTTTTACAGGATTAGAATTGAATAGATTATTATTATTTATTTTTTTTATTAATTATTATTATTATTATTTTTTCATTACAGGAGCAGTAGGAGGATTAAGAAGATGATGATGCATCAAGTGAAAGGTTTCGTACCTTTTGTCGCATTCATGCAAGGGATAATCATATTGTTACCTTCGGTTAGCGGAGGACCTGTGGAATTTCATAACGCACTCGTGGATTCCGGTAACGAATTCAATTTAGGTCCCCACGATTTAGAAAGGATGTACACGTCGGAATATAAAAGGTTACCCGTTTACGATTTCGGTTTGGGTAAAAGAGGATCAGAAATTGATCAAACAATAGGAGGAAGAGGAGTTGGCGGAGGTGGAGGAGGAGGAAGTTTAGGAGAATACGATGAATATTCGTATGCCGAAGATGATGATGATAGTTTACCGGAATTGGAACTTTATCACGACGACATAATGCAAGCAATGGACAAAAGGCAAAAATTATATAATTTCGGATTGGGTAAAAGGCAAAGATACGATTTTGGTTTGGGTAAACGTGGAAGAGGATACGATTTCGGTTTGGGTAAAAGATCGTTGGAAATGTTTCATCCGAGAGATAGACTCTACAACATGGGTTTGGGTAAAAGAAATCGTCAATATTCATTCGGTTTGGGTAAAAGGCCGTACAATCCGAACGTGGCAGCAAGTCGATTTAATTTCGGTTTGGGTAAACGTTCCGATAATATCGATTCATCGAAAAATCCCATATCGAAAAGGGAAATCCATGAGAAAAACATGAGCATTCAAAATAATAACGAAGAACATGTTTCCGATGAGAAAAATACAAAGGGAAAAAATACAGAACAACAACAACAACAAACAAATGACGTTCAATCACGTTCGTTTAAGAGAAGTTATTCGTATGGAGCGATCAATAATCCTAATTATCGATCTTCGATTGGATTTTCGAGACAATTTCGTAAACCTATTTATAATTTTGGATTAGGTAAACGTACGAATTTATCAGCGGAAACGATAAACAATTAAATTTACTTACCATCATCTCTCGAATGAGTTTAAACAATTCTTTAACTCTTTTAATATCAATTATCATTATTATTACTTTTAAAAATAAATAAATAAATAATATTAATAAATAAATAAATAAACAAATAATTATATCTGTACATTAACAACGCCCTTTTTTACGTTTTCTTCTTCTTTATTTTTTCTTTTTATTTTCATTAAATTTTAATCATTATTATTATTATTATTTTTAAAGTGTCTTAATTAATGTTAATTAATTTAAAAAAGTATATATATTTAATTAATGTCATTAATAATAAAAAAAAAAAAGTTTAGCGAATATAAAAGTACAAGACGTTATTTATTATGACGTCAGACTGGATTATTTTATTATCTGTTAAATGATAAGAAACTTTTATTTGATTTTTTTTTCGTCATCGTGAAAAACTGGATAATAAAAGCTTATTATGATAAATTTTAATGATGATGATAATGATTATTATTATTATTATTATTATTATTATTATTATTATTATTATTTAAAGTCCTTAATTTAAAAAAAAATAAATCCGTTCCGAAATAATTCCAAAAAAAAACTTTTCTTTTTTTTTCCTTCCGGAAAATGAATAATGAAGAATTTTCCAACATCCGTTGAAAATGATTCGTTTAAAGTTCGACAAAAATTATTATTATTATTATATTTTATTATTTTGTAACAACCGAATTTTAAAATAATAATAATAATAATAAATTTATGACGTCACGCCCAACGCAGGTACGATCATTTTATAGAAATAAATTTTTTTTTATTGATTTCCTGTTGCCACAAGACGAATAACGTCGCGTTTATAGCAGAAAAAAAAATTTTTTTTTGTGATTGATTGATTATACATAAACAACATAATACATAATACATAAATATTATACATAAAGAAAAATTGACAACCCATAAAAAAAAAAAATAATATTTATGTATGTGTGAGTGTGTGTAATTTTTATGAAGTTATCTTCGAATGATGATGGATTTTTCTTTTTTTTATCGTTATAGTAAAAATTTTTTTTTTTTTTTTTATTAATATAATGAAAAGGAAATGACGTCAGAGTCGTCACGTTATAAAATATAAATAAATATTCACCGTTCGTTATTATTATTATTTTTTCGATTTCGTTTTTTTTCCATCTTCATAAAAATTAATATTACGATGAAAATTTTTTTTGATTGTAGTGTTAGATAGTAAATAATACGTCATTGCAGTGGTAGTGGTGGTGGTAGTAGTGGTAGTAGTAGTAGTAGTAGTACGTTATTGTAGTTTGTAAAAATATTAAAAATTAACTTGGGGAAAAAAAAAAATTTTTTTTTTAAACATAAAAATTACGATG